TCAAAACATCTTTATCATTATTTTATTCAGCTACAGATAGTCTCAGCCTCAGACGTCACGCCCACGGCTGACCGTCTGATGCATATGGCACACAAAATTGGAAACACTTCAGGAGTTTCAAAGTCATCATCTGATTGATTGAATTCTACAGAATTTCTGGGAGACATGTGTGTAGCGCTTTTTAACATTTGCCTGAAAACAATAATGCCATGACGCCAAACCCCAACTGTGATGACGAGCGCTTATCAGGATCAACTAAACGCTGGATTTTCAAAAGTATGTGAAATATGTAAAGTTCACGGAATAGACTTTTTAAAATACGTCCAAGAGTTTTATCCACCGGTTATTGTTATTGTGGGGACATTTCCACGGCCCTAAACATGATGCAGCACAAAACGAAAGTCATTCATATGGCCTCTTGGGCAGTCCTTGGCCATTCAAAGCAAGGTTTCCAGACCTTCTGCTGTCAGTCTGAAGGTCTGGCTATGCGAGACTTAGCTACAGATAGCTGGATATCTTTGTCCATATTAGGGCTTTCCTGGAGCAGAGTTTATCACTGCGTCCCAAATCGCACACTATTCATCCTAAATAGTATTTGAAATTAGAATTATTGTGTCCCAAATCGTAGCATGTTGAAATAAGTAACTCAAAGGAACCCAGATGGTTTACTATTTCCGGTACAAATTCGATGCACACTCTAATGGCTAATATTGCCCACAACACATTGCATGTTGGATGAGGATTTGATTAGAACTACAAACATGCATAATAAGTGATTAAAAACTACAAACATGGTGGATATGTGAGACTGATGGACAAGTAGAGAATGGGGTGTGAGTGATTAATAATCAATATTTAATCTGATAAAACAATTATTTAATGTTATCCGCATTATATTTCATGCATATGCAGCAACATTGTGAACTTTTATAAAGATACGTTTGGTCATTAACTTTTAAATGCATCATTATGCAAACACATGAGCAGAGTTCTCTGCATGATAGACCCATGGCTGGCAGATCAACGTGCCTCTACCTGCCTCTAGGATCTTTAGGATGATGTTAACTGTGACAAGATGATTGACATGGCAGTTTAAATGGTGATAGGATGCTCATAAAAGAGTATGTATGTCCCAAAGCTTGCATACCATTCTGCTACACACTCAAAAATATGTACTTTTATTCACAAAAAGAGTACATACTTCTAGGGCATAGGTAGGCAAATTGGAACACAGCATATGATATCTATGAATCTCACTGTTAGACTTTCTGTGCAACGGCACCCTCTGGCTTCCAGGATGAATGAAACAGACCCTACATGAGAGTGTTTAACGTGTCATAATGCCCCATTTTTAGTAAAAATAGAAAAGATAATAGGCCTACTCCTCTCTTTTAAGTAAATGTTTTCTCCAACTGAGTACACTTTTGGACAACAACCGCTGTTTATTAAAGTACTCCGATGCAAAGAGCACAGGAGTTTTTCTCAGTGAATGCATAAGAAGCTCATATTTCATATTAAATGCATGGACTCAGTTTTTGATTTTGCATCCCTCCTGAGAAAAATTAAGAAATTACTGTCACTGTAAGACATTTAAAACAAAAAAGAGGGTTGCCGGTGTCTCACTGCATGTTAATAGGATATGACAAACTGTTTCTTTGCATTTATTTTGGATTTATTGTCAGTATTGGGCACACATTGCACAAGGGTACTGTGTGTATGGATGACTGTGTTCGTCAGCCACCACCAAAGACCATTTTTGACCCTGGAAAAACCCTGAACACAGTCAGCTTTTGTCCCAGCTATTTCTTTGTTGTTGTTTGGTGTGTCACGACTCTTTTAAGCAAACAGAAAAGTCCTAACAATTGCTCAAAGAAAAGACTTGCCGAATGATTTTTGACAAGTGCTGTACAGTCATTGTATCGACAAAAAAAAAAACCACACTTTTTTTATCCAAAATATCTTCTTTTGTGTTCCTCTGAAGAAAAAAGGTTTCCATTTAAAACCATCTCTGTAATGCTTCACTCCTCAAAGTTCAATGCATCGGGAAACATAGTCATCAATCATCTGAAAAGGCCTTTATTGCTCTACAGGGATATGACCCTCAATTTTACGAGAAAAAATGTCTTAAACACATCACTTTCTTTTACTCTAGGGAATTACACAGCTGCTAGGGCGTGATGGAACGCAGCCGGACAGAAGTATGGGCGTGGTTTAGTCATCTCATTTGCATACAGTTTCGCCAGACCCAATAGGATTTTATTCAGTCCGGCACTGCACAGCAAATGGAACCTTTAGGAAAAACTAAACACATCTGATGTATTAATCAATACTACCTGCTCCTGCGGTTCAACTGGACAGCACAAAGCCGAGCATGTAGAAGAACAAAAAGCACAAAAAGGCACTCCAATACTTGTGTTTCCTTAATCATGACAGGTCAAAGTGAAGGATGCAGTCAAGGGTGACAGACACGCAACATTTATCGCATGCCCTTTGAGTATCTATATAGAGCACCAGCAAGCTCATCACTCTATGCTAATGAGACACTGAATGTCACCTTGTGGTACACAAATACACCTCTACCAAACACAAGCAAAAGCCCATAACATGAGGTCATGGGCCAAATCTAACTGTCTCCATAAACACCAGAACCAAAGACACAACTTTAAGAGCGAAGGACTGGATTGAAAGCACAATAGAGATGAAGAATAAGAGTGAAAGGGAGTGTTTAGAGGGGAATGACAGCAACATTTCTGTCATTTCGGTCTCTCTCTTCATCCCTTTGCAGACAACATGTTTTATTTGAAAGCTGGAGTGCAGGGCTGTGCAGGTAAACGGGTACATTGCCGTGGTTAACGTAGCTTTGTTAAGACAGTGATGGGATGATTCCACCTGCACATTTCAAGATAAGAAAATGTCAAAAATCTCCAAAGACACAATGACATGCATAGAAAAGCTCTCTCTCCCCTAGCTGCCCGCTCTCGCTTTGTCTGTTCTCACTCTCACACACTCCATATTACTGATGACTATTACAGAACACAGCCGACATATCAAACTCTGACCTAATAACACAGCGCTGTCGAATGGTTTGACAGACTGCCTGTTTGGAGATATTGCAGTTCAAATCTGTGTTTACCTACTCTCTCTTTCTTGTCGTCTTTTTTTCTGTTTCCATTGACAGCTTTTTCTGTGCTGTGGTAAGCAATGAAATGCTGAAATCTTAAAAATTGCATTTTAAAACCCCATCGGTCCTTAAGACATCACAGTGGAAAAGAACTCTGGCATTCTGAGGTCAGATCATGCAAATTATGAAGAGAACAAAAGAATATTTTAAAACAACCCTGGTAATTTCACTATCCTGTTTTTCTTTCTGACATTGTTATTTCTGTCTATTTTAGTTTCTTAAATTGTTCTTTGCTTATCCATTCATTTTCTCTCACATCTCATTTTGTGATTTTTTTTAAATACATACTAGTACTAGATTTTTTTCTTTCAGAGTAGGAACATGTTTTCAGAAGTTTTGCATGCCTGTGTTTTGTCTCTAACACTTCACAATATAAAGACATCACAGCTATTTGAAACTGGAAAGCATTGCCAGATAATAATGAAAAAATGCAAATGAAGATCCATAATTTGAAACCATATGGTACTTCATATTAATGAATGAGGGACTCCAATAAAATGCTTTTTCGGAGTGGAATCAACTGGAATTGCTTTGCATTTTCTCTCACACTCACTCACTCCAACACAGCCAGCACATAAGTGATAGATGCTGGTGGTAAATCTGAGCTATTGCTGTTTCAGACATGCAATTCCCACCCGGCACTCATTCTCAGGTACACACATATGTGTGTGTAAATTATTGATTCATGCCAAAGGATTTTGGTTTATCTCTGAATTTTAAAATTGAGTATCCAAACGTACATTTGTCATCTTCACAAGCATACCGCCACTCTCTGGCTCACATTCGCATGGTCTTCAAACGTCCGTTAAAGTATCGCTGTCAGACAGCCTTGAGTGCACAGTGTTATTCTCAGGCTCTGACCGTCTTTGATATCTGTGTGTTATGTAACGTCAAACCCTCTCGTGTCCATGAAACACGTTGTTTCAGGTTTCGCTTTGTGAAAATGAGCATAAAAATGAATGAATGAACAAACTAAACAATGAATGAATTAATGAGAAATGAGTGACAAACAAATGAATGAATAAACAAATGTGGAAAAATAATTTCCACATTTTTATGCATTAGATGTTCAGTGTCTTAAAAGAAGTAAGCTTGTTTTACTTGGCAAAATGAATCATTAGGCACATGTAAAAGACTAATTAGCAGGTTAATCGAGGCTATTTCTATAACTGACATTTAAAACTAAAAGATAAAAATAATTAAATAACAGACAATGTATTTGTATAAGTTTAAGAAACGATTTTAAAGACAAATTATGTTAAATAGAATCATATTTAAAGACACTGAAATGATTTCAATAATCAAATGCTGAGCCTCAAATGCTGTATGTTTGCAGAACAGATGATGGACATCCATCTCAAAACGATTTTAGACAAATTCCCATCTTTTTGTATGAGATTTGTATTGTCATTCATGCTCAGGCCATATTGTGCACGTGAATGGTTGGTAACCGTGTGAATGAAGCACTAGGGTTATTCTTGAATTTTTTCCGTGTGGCACGGGAACACACGACAGCTGATGACAGTATTAATGACCCTCCTCTGAAACTGCAAATGAGTCATACGAGTGTTATCCTAATAACTCCTTGTCATGAGCCAGTGAATGATTATCATCCGCTCTTAAGGGCCGTTCACAAAGGACGCGTTCTTGCGTTCTTTTTTCTTAATCGTTTTGCACTGTAGTGTAACTTTGGAATGCGTTTGCTCAATTCCGTTGCCTCGCGTTCAGCTGTTTTGAATGCAAGAACGGGTCATGTGCGAACATCCCCTCATCTCTCCGTTAATGAATGTGGACTGAACGCACGCGCTCACTCACTCACCCGCGTTTCTCAGTTTTCTATTTCTGAGCACCGAGATGATCACCAGCACGTTACCGAGCACATCCACCACGCTCGTGAAGATCAGCACACCGGCCAGCACCATGACGACCCATGCTGGCCGCGCGCCTGCTCCGCTACCCCAAGCGCGACCCTGCGTGACTTCCGTCCGGTTCCTGATGAGGGAGACATTCTCGGGCATCTCGGGAATAAGCTTCACCCTCTCTCACAAAAACACGCTCGGTATCTTTCTCACGAAGCTTCTGTCATCTTCACCTTCGTCAACAATTAAACATTTCCACATTCTCAACAAGCCTTGGGAAGCTCGGTGACGCGTTTTCTTTTCTCATGCATGTGCCACATGAAACATAAATGTTCCACCCGGTTCTTCTTCTCGCGATTGACGAATATGTTCAACTTCACAGTGCTCTTTCTCTCTCCTCGCCTCGCGCGCTCTTTTAAAACTCACACACGGTGAGAGCGCGGCGACGCACCTCGAGCTTCTCCGAGCATCTCGCCCCAGTCTCGTGCGCTCCGGTATTTCCCATTGATGACTGAGGGATCACGCTCACGCTGGCGTGGGTTCACCCCTCTTCCTCCACCTCATCCAATTCTTCCTCCTCTTGCCGTTCAGTTTATTTACAGTGACGCTTGAGCTGAGGTAAACTGAGACGCTTCCAAAAAGCTGTCAAACGTGGGACGCGTCAGCTCGTCGGGTATGTCCAGTCAGTCAGACTTTATTTATTTATTAATTCACTCGGTGGCGACGGAATCCGATGCGTGAGATCGGATGATGTGCTCCCGTTTCGGATGAATTCCCGCCTTTTAGGAGTGTCAAACCTTTAAGTGCAATAGGTGGCACCGGTGTGTGTCGTTAAAAACGCTTCTTTTTGTTTACTACGACGGTCTTCGCGTTTGAGGGGCAAGACTGTCGTTAAATGAAAGAATCCAACTCAGAATTTCTGAGCGGTAATTCCGTGTTTTCCCGCCTCAAAGCGAGTCCCTCAGCGACTCCGCTCCCGCCGGCTGCACGCGAGCGGAGTTTCCGGTCCAGTTCTCGGACAAGTCCAGTTAAACGACAGCTGGAAAGACGTCGCCATCGACCCGCTCCGCACCGCCGGTCTCTCGCGCTCTCCTCATTGAGGACCAAAAAATCGTTGAGCGCGTCACCGCTGTTTACAGCTGCCCCGTTCACGCGCTCTGGGAGCCTCCTCGTGCGTCTGAACTTGTACTGAGAGCGCGCAGGTGCACGTGCCACAAATAACGGGTTTGAATTAAAAGGCCTTGTAGCGTTTTCTCACTGATTGCCTGGTACCGAGCGATAGGATAGCTACTTTAAAGTCAGCTTCCACAACCATCACCAAACACCATGAATTTCTTAGATATGAAATTTGATAGAAAATAAATTCTATCAAATAAAACAACCTGTTGTAAAATTAATACATTGCAAATAAAAATGTCTCGTTAACATATCTTTTAAATAATTAAAAAACATTGTAAGAAGCAGTGAACTCAAGATGTGAAGATGACAAATTTCATCAAAAAGAACGTCATTTATGACCTATAGCCTAATTGCTGGATGCTGGGTCCAACTTGCTTAAAACATATAAATAGCTGTATGCAATGCAATGAGAGGAAATTAAAATACAACAATATTTACAGTCTAACTAAACTTAAGGAAATAAAAAAAAATTTTGTTCCAATATTCTAACCAAACAGCAGTGCATGCTGGGAGCTAAAGCCCTGCCCCCAGTGCTTTAGACATCACAATACGATGCAGCTTTTTCTAGCCATAAATCATTCACTTAGACAGGATGAAGAATCTGAGTGACATACAAAGTGATCAGTCACAGTTATAGGGGTTTATCTAAAACAATTAATATGTTAATAATAGACTTATGTGGGGACAAATAAATAATAGCCTATAGCAATCTCAGATTGTACAAAAACACAGGCAGAAAATGTCCAGAGAATAAGTACAGTACAGAAAATACAGTAAGTTGATTACATAATTCAGAAAATAAAGCAGAATATTCAGTTCTGCTCAGTTCTTATTTCTTCCTCAAAAACACTTATGTATCTTACATGATACCTTGTAGACTTTGCTTCAGGATAGACTTGTGCTTGTTCTCGCAGAAGTCAGCCAATCAGATTAGAGTTTACTAGGTCGAGAAAAAAAAACATCCAGTTTTGTTTGCGATATGCATCCGACGGTGGTGAAGGTGGATGGTGAAGGACTGTAGGTGGTCCGTGGGCATACTGCCTGAAGCTGAGATCAGCTCAGCATTGTTTAGAACTGAGACTACAAATACTTTTAAACAGCACTGGATATAATATTCATTAAGCAACTTAATCAAAAGCTTATCCCACCCTGGCAAGCACTTCACGGCTCACTTCTCCAAACTGTGTGTCCCACCCTGAGAGTCCAAAGACCTTGCTTAGAGCTGGAGTCAGGCCTGTGTAAAATCAGCTATGGTTCTTGAAGAGTTCATAACCACTTGCCAGTGAAGGCTAGTTAAAAATCCCATTTTCAAAAACTACAATGTTTACTTACTTCCTATGGTTTCAAATGATTTTTTAAGAGGAAATGCATCCTTCCCAGTGTTCAAATGAAACCTACGCCACTGGATTTGATTAACCTGACCTTTTCCTGGCTTCTAGCACTTAAAGAGACATTTATTTCTATGGTGCAGATGGATAGCAGCTGAAATGAGAGAGGGCGGAGAAGTATAGCACAGGGAGCTACCCCAAAGAAACGTTACCCGCTAGGTCTCAATTCACTTAAGGGCACAACCGTTGCGGAGAGTGCATGTCTGACAGCAGTGTGACAGGGCGGGGTCCCAAGCCACCCCTGAGGACGCTATCACCTGATTCAGCTGCCTATATCTCCTATGCCACAGCCAGACACACACACACACACACACACACACACACACAGTCAAGGAAGATTATCCAAGCTTAACACAGCCCTGCTTTCACCTTGTGAATTTCCTTGCAGCTTGGGGAAAAGGGTTCCAGCATATCATTAACTATTAATTAAACCATATCATGGATACACTGAAATAAATTTATCCCTGTGAGGTTTGAATTAATCTGTCCACAGCAATAGAAATAGGCCTACATCAAACCTTTGCACTCAGGATGAAAAAGCGATGTATATAGATTGTCATAATTACAAATTGGACATGCATACATGTATAATATATGTATTCTGTGTTTAAAATTTAAAGACAAATAAAAGATAGATAGATAGATAGATAGATAGATCCATTTTTATGTCAACAGTAGCCTACCTTATAATTTATCACAGTGGAACAAATATGCAACACTCCAAAATGACGCTTCATCTGCACTTTTTGTGCAGTTTTTTTTATTTCAGAATGAGAACACCAACAACTGAGCAGTATTTACATACAGGTACACGTTGCACATCTATTTTTTTTCCTGTTTACAAATACAGATTCGGCACAGAAATGTAGTGATGTTTGCTGGCGCGCGTGCGCCTTTATCTCCGCGAGCCAGCAATGCCATCCAGCGCGCGCGCTAAATCAGCCTGTTTTTTGTTTTTTTTGGATCCAACACATCCACACGGTTCAACAACAACAACAGATAACAGCCATGCCTACTCAAATCAGTCCAATGCGAGGTGTTTGAATGATTATTTCTTTTACACCCACGACACCACCGCTGGGAATAAAGGAGGCGTTTACCGCGTGGAAACCTGGCTGGCTGCGACTTTTCGTCGGTCGGGTGTGTGCGTGGGTATACGGACTGATTGTATGAGCGCGCTCGGCTCGTTAGGAGAATCGGGTTATGTAAGCGGGCGTCTGGTTTCTCTGGGACAGAGAAAGAGAGAGAGAGACCTTTCTTTCTTTGATGTCAAACTGCAGGAATCCCTCCCGAGACCGGCGGTGCTTGTCACTGTCTGTGTGTTTTAGTTTGATTCGTAAGGCATGTGAAGCCTTTCTTTCTTTGATGTCAAACTGCAGGAATCCCTCCCGAGACCGGCGGTGCTTGTCACTGTCTGTGTGTTTTAGTTTAATTCGTAAGGCATGTGAAAGTATTCACATGCGTGTCTGTGCAAGAGTGGTGTATGTGGGTGAGTTTAAGGGTTTGTGCAGTTCTGAGTCTGGTTAATGAGTAAAATTGGTTTCACCCTGTCTACCCTTCCTCACATTGGAAGAGCAAGGTACAGCGGCTTCAAAAGTAACACAAAAAGCGTATTATCGCACAGCTCTGTAGCCTATAGAAGGTTTCAACGGCAATAACATAAACAAACGTAACGTTACTTTTGTGGCCCTAACTTAACATCCGGTAGACTTCCAAATAGAATCAATAACAGCAGCTAAGTAGTCATTCTAGAGTAGATTATTTTTGATAAGCAAAATATGTTTGCTGCGTAAATCAGACAGACTTGCTGAAAATGCAAATTCATTCTCTGCCAGCAGGAGGTGCTTTAAAGCAGGAGAAACAGAGGTTTCCCCAGTAACAGCTGTACACAAAGCAGCACTGAGCTCACAAACGCTGCTTTATCAGACATATAACATCGAAAATTTTCTAAAGATAGTCTTCCTTCGGAAATACAGTGATATAAAAACACCCGCGCCTCGTTTAGATTTTTAACCGTGCAGTACGTGCTCATGTTTATTCAACGAAGCCTTTTGGAAAATTGGTCAGTTTTGATATTGTGGCGAGCGCCACAAATAAATAAATGTATGGGAAACACATCCCACAGCACAACCACCTGAGCCCAACTTCAGTCTACTCATCACCTTAACTTTAACTGCGTTTGTAGCCGGCTCCATAGCCAGACTGATAAACAAACACAGACCGGAAGTTAACTTTGGGCCAGGCGCGTGCGCCCGATGAAACCGTCTATATAAAGTAGGATATATCCAACTTTATCCGCATACATACAGTATGCTAAAGCTACTATACAGCAAGTCTCAACAGTCTGATTTTATATTTATTCACAAAATATAACTAATATTATCGCACAGCTTGTTATATAAAGTTGGACACAGGTATGTCCAACTATATCCACATTCATACTGGCGCAGAGCGGATACCCTACTATTTAGTATATCTCAACTGTTTCGTAGAGAGTAGCGTTGCACAATGCGAGTTTTCAGCGCTGCGCTCGTTGTCTTCTGTCTTCCTTTTGTAATTCCACAGCATGAAGGTAACCGTACTAATTTACATCCACTTTGAACATTACAATGTGTATGAAAACGTTCGTTAACTCTACAATAAGTAAATCCACTTCAC